GGCAAAAGTCCATCTTTTTGGTGTCATAGCACTGACTGTATTGAGGCGTACAATACACACACTCAGACACAAAAACATACACACACCGCCGAGTGAGTGGGTGGGTGGGTGGATAGCGGGTGCTCTGGTGTGGTCTGCTCCTTCTTTCCCACAAACCATCTATCGTCCTGATCTCTCCTCCCTTCTATTTCGTAATACAACGCTGCTTACCCTCTATAAATAACACCTCTAGCTTTCACCACTTTTCCACCGACCAAATCGTGTTGTAAGCGCCGTAAAACTCTCACACAAAAAAACCCCAAAAATGCCGCGCCGTGAAAAGAAGCAAAGTGCGAGATGGGTGACTTTCGTCGGTGTGGCGCCGGAGAGACGGGGGAGAATCGCACGGGTCCTGACACCCCCCTGACCCAGAATCTTGGACCGGCCCAGGAGCCACAGGGACTCGGGCTGTCTGCCACCATTTGCCAGTCGGGAGGGCCGGGCGCCCAACCCGTTTTCCGCTCAACCGGATCTTCCCCCGCATACGGGACCGGCACATTGTTTTATACAAACAGAAGGTGATCCAAGTTGGAGACGACGTATTAGTTGCAGTAAAGAATTTTACGGCAATTGCAACACAAATAGGTCAAATATGTGCCAAAAGATTTCAGATGTTACTAGAAAATATAACATACAACAAAATGAAAGGAGGAGAGATAAGGAGGATAGGTGTTAGAATGATAGGAAAGAAGAGCACTCATCTTCCATCCTCACGGACGTTTTACACTTCACTATACACAGTAGATAATATAACATGGAGCAAAAACGAGTGCAGACCAAAAAAAAAGGGTGACAAATAGCAGAATTTATAACTCTTTCTGAAACTAACTCTACTCAATCAACGTCGACGAGACTGCCGGAGACATTTGTTTTGTTTTAGTAGAGGTTTTACGGCGCTCGCAACTGCATACGGTCATATGAGCGCCAGAAGGTTAGAGATGTTACAAGAGAGTAACAAACATAAAAAAGAAGGAGGGGAGATAAGGATGATAGACGTTTGATAGGAAAGAAGAAGACATTCGTACATTCCCCACACAAGCAAACAATAGAGAGGAACTGGACTAACAATCTGAGATTGCCACCCCTTTCTAACATCTCCTTTCACACACTCCCGTTTCTCCTTCTTACAAAATCATGTTAAAAAATCGGTCATAAAAAAAAAACTTTAATAAATTATACACACACCAGAAAAATACAGAACAGCCTCGGGAACGAGCGATCCAGTTTCTGTAATTTACCCGGTTAATCAGACCCAGGGCTCGGTATTCGCCCGGCCCCAGCAGTCCGACTCCCACAAGCGAAGGCATTATACTTTGTGAGAGGGACAAGCGATAAGCGACGGGGAACGCTGGTGTGTGTGTGTGCGTGTGTGCGGGGAGGGAGGGGAGGGAGAGGGAGATAGACAGACTGACGGAGACGGGAAAGGTGCGGGGATAGACTGGCTGACGACACCAGCCCACACGTGTTTGTACATCGGTCCGTTCGGACGTGCCTTGCCTGTGTGTACGTTTGGAACGGGACAGGGCGCAACGGAGGGAGTGTGAACATGGAAGTGTGTGTGTGTGTGTGTGTGTGTGTGTGTGTGTGTGTGTGTGT